GCTGGGACACGGCGCGGGCACCGCTCGGCGCCGCCCCCAGAGCAGCTGCCGGGAGAGGCGACGGGGTCGGAATTCACGTACGAGGTAAGAAAGGGGGGACTGAAGTGGAGAGGGAACGAAGGAAGGCATCAGCTCCCCGACCCGGAGCCTCAGTCCCGCGCCTTCCTTCCGCTGTGGTACGGCTGCCTGCGGGGCCGGGGCCGAACGTTCTCCGTGCGTGTGGGACTGTGAGCTGAGCCTCGGCATTCGCCTGTGCTCCGTGGCTTTGCATTGTTCCCAAACCTTTTAGTCTGGCAGTTTCCCAGTCAATAAAACTTACACGGAAAAAACAGTAATTTGATGATCCTCACTGTTTATGTGATCTGAGGCGCGGAATCAAACTCTACAACTCACTAAGAGTTATAAAGTGGTATGTTTATTACGACTTCGGGCACACGGGGGATCGCTCCGCCACAAACGTGCACTTCGGGAGCCAAAAAAACCCCAGCTCCTTTTATTGTTTGAAATGTTACATATGCATTAGGATTCCGAAGATGAGGAGGGAATATTACAGTTGGTTCCGAGAAATTCCCCTCTTGCCCCCTTCCCCGCCCCCCATGTTCTTCGCGCCTGCGCAGTGCCCCCTGGTGAGAGTGGGCCGGGGTCTTCAAGGGTCTTCAGGATGAAGTAAGACTCCTTCTTCATTAACTTTTTAACTTCGCTTCCTGCGCATGCTCTCTAGACCTTTGGCTCATCTCCAGGTTTTAGTCGGTTTTACCCGTTTGTTTTGTTAATTGGAACTTTTGTGTCTATCAAGATGTTCCAGGAAGTAAATCCTTGATGTTATTAGGTATTGGTCATCCTTTAGCTGGTACGGCTCCCCCTTTATCTCAAAGACGGGGGTTAGTTTACTATCTATCCTGTTTTCTGTAAAATGTTATCTAGCTAACACTGCCTGAGGGCTAGCATTGTTTAATGCTTTGTCGATATTTCTTTGCTTTTTTTTGCCTTCCTCACACTAATCTTCCTCCTCCAAGGGATTATTACAAAGCATTGAGACGCTGATCCATAACTTTATTGTGTGTCGATGATCTGCTTGCTGATGTCCTGCTAGCTCTAGCTGTAAGTGTTAAGAGTCAGCCGCGGCAAACCTGGCTCCCGGCTGTACTAGTGTTGGGTGTTGCTTACTATCATCTTGTTCTCCTGGAGTAGGGATTGTTTGCTCGTTTTCCATCTTTGCTTTAGGACTCTGTCTTTTACCGTGATGTTTTATAAACGGCCTCTAAAATGCATGAAGTGGTAGAGTTCTAAAAACACTTGGCAGTAAGCCAAGCAGTGGTTGAGCAGTCAGCGAGCCTGCAGTATTTCTTTTCATTGCAGTACTGGGGAGAAAGGGTTACAGACAGCTAGTAAATGCAGCACCTGTTGAGAGGTCTGGAGGGTATTCCAAGCTCGAGCAGGTGATGTTCGGAGTGAACAAAGCTTTCCAAGAATGGCAGTAACACAGACTTGAAAACTTGAAACTTGAAAACAGGAATTTGTGCTGGATCATGCTTCGGTTTGATTTGCTGAGGAAATGACTTACATACATACCTGGTGTACACACAACTTGCCCCCATTCTCCTCAAGCAATGTGGTTTTTATCTCATTTAATTGAAATAATTTGGTCTAAATTCTGAATTGTCATAACTCAGTTTGAACTTGAATTATATAGGCTTGTTAGTTTAGGCAGAAATCAGTTTAACAAGTTATTCTGCTAAATTGAATTGATAAAACATCTAGATAAGGTTTCAAAGTAGCTTTTAGCTAAATTAAAGTCTGATTTATTGTGAAGTGATAAAATTTCTGTGTGTAGATAATAGACTGAGATCTGAACCTTTTTGATAACACTTTAAGTGCTTGAGCTATGTCACAATATATGGGATTTCATACGAGGAGGAAAGGAATATGAAGAACAGTTATTGAGCTATGGGAGAGTAAGTCTGAATACAGGAAAAAGCAATCCAACCTTTATTTTTGCACAGGCTCTGTCTTCTGACTCAAAGGAAAGGACACAGTTCAGGATTCCTGGGCTCTGTCAAACCTCGTTTCCTAACTGGGCATCTGGACTTGGGGATTGTATTTTCTATCTGTCTCTGAACACAAAAATGTAACAGTCTCTTCTCTGTGACCCCCTGTGCTATGATATCCTCTGTGGTTTATCTGCTGAGCTGTCCCCCCAGGGGGGACTTCAAGGCTTTGGATTCAGAGGTTCTGTTCCTGCTCTGCTTCTCTGATTTTTTTCTCATGCTCCCTCATGTAGAAAGCTTTGCTGCTTCCAGCTGCTCTAAACAAAAGACTGAAGACCTACCTGCCCATTTTTAGGTATATAACCTTCCACAGGCAGAACAGAATTGCCTAGGCTATGTGGAAGAAGTTGGGTGTGGTGGAAGGGTGATTATTGAACTTCAGTGAGTTGCCTGTGTAGAACCTATTTAGACTGAGTGCTATTACATTTTAGTTGACATATACTTATAAGGGAGACTTTAGGGTTTTTCATGGGAGGTGAAACACGGTCCACTAGCAAGATGTGACTGGGAGTGGATGGATATTCCACAGCTTCAGCTTGGGTGTCAGGCTTGTAACAGAGGAACACCTTCCTGTTACAGCCAGAGAAAAATGAGCCCTTGGACTGCTGATCAAGGAGTATGTGTGAACCACTGTGCTCCCTCCACTGAGAATTATAATAAGTTACTGCAGTGACTCTTCCCACCTAGAATGGAGAGAAGCAAAGATCCGAACATGGAAGATACTTGAAAGAAATGGAGTAATTTAGGGGCCTCTTGAGGTCATCTAGCTCCGTTTTCTGCTCAGAGCAGGGCTAACTTCAAATTTAGACTGGGTTGTTCAGAGCTTCTGCTAAATCTGGGCTTTGTTGTAGTCTTGTGTTTGGAGAATGAAGTTTCACATTTATTTAAAAGAAAACTCCGCTTCTGCAGAGAATTTAGGGCTTCCAAACAGCTGTTGGATGAATTCTTATTACAAGGATTGTTGTATTGAAGATTCAAGCGTTATTAACCGTTTGCTTTCTACTTTCAGGCAGAGAGACTGTTGATTCCACCAACATGGAGGATGATGTCAGCTTGAAGTTCCGTCAGCAGCTCCTGCTCATTGATGAAAACCTGGTGACTGAAGATGTAGCAGCTTTAAAATTTCTCTGTACTGACTTGCTCCCATTCAAAAAACTAGAAAGTGTGGAGTCAGCAGTGGACATCTTTCAGCTTCTCATGGCTGAAGAATATCTGAATGAGGAAGATACTTTCCTACTAGCTGAACTCTTATACAGAATTAAATGTCACTCCTTGCTCAAGAAACTTGGTTATACCAAGGAGAAAGTGCAAGAATGTCTGCATGAGAAGGGAAGAGTGTCTCTGTACAGGTAAGCTTGCTGTGGGATTCTGCCATCTATGCCATACTGTTTCCCTTTCTTTTTTTAAATTCCCAGTTTACTTTTAGTTTCTACACTGTCTTCTGTTCTGTTACAGGCAGATGCTGTATGAATTGTCAGAGAACATTAGCAATGAGATGCTGAAGGATATCATATTCCTCCTGCAAAATTATCTTCCAAAGCGCCGGATAACTCTTGTATGTGTGGAGAGAGCCAACTGTGTGTATGGTGGGAAGGAAAGAAGGAGTGGGAGAAATAGGAGAAAAAGCATGAAAAGTATTTGGGAGAATAGGGCATAATCTGCAACTAGGCTGGTCAGTATTTTTAGGGTTAGCAAGGAGGAAGCTGTTGTCAGGTAAGTGTGCCAAGGTCAACCACTGACAGTCCACAGTCTTGCATTAGATCATAAAAGGGTGACAAATCAAATCTTCACCCTGCTTGAGCTGTGTGCAAAGAAGATTCATGTCCATATGTCATTGGTACCATTTCACAGCAATAAAGCCTTCTCGAAGACGAGCCATTACTGTGGTTTGGGTGACTCTGTTTAAACAAGTAATAACGCAACCAGTAGCTTTCCATGAAGCAACATTTCTACCTCCCACGGTGATGTAGAACTGACTGTTTGGGCCTTGTCGATAGGAAGCAAAGCAGATAATAATCTGATTGTTTGAGGCAGACAGGGCTGAGGCAGGTTTTGAGTTCTAAGGAATGATAATTATATTTTGCTCTCTCCTTTTGCCTGCCAGTCTGCTCTGGAATTGCTGATTTTATTGGAAAAACAGGGCCTTTTAACTGAAAACAATGTACAGATGCTGGAGGAAGTCTGTATGAATGTTTCACCTGATCTCCTGGAAACAGTAAACTGCTACAAAAGGGCAAAAGGTGAGAAATTCACAGTCAGGGAGTAGGTTTGCTAAAATGCAGGAAGCACTAGAAGGGTCTGGGCAACTGAATCTCAAGGTCTTATGTGTGCAGTGTCAGAACAGGAGCTAGAGTGGGATTGCTCATCTTCACACACAAATTTGGCATAACAGTCCCTAGCTTGCATTACTTCCTAGATGAATTTCAGTAGGGACATGATGGAATATCTGAGGCCACACAGAGAAGGTGAGCGCATACAGAACAAGCTGGGAAACTGAAAATCCATTTATAGTTATGTCACATTTCTCCATTTCCCCATGAGTAGTATGGAGATGATGATGAGTGTCCTGTAAAAGGATATATGTGATATATGAAGGTACACTACAACAAGACAGTTGTCTGCTAATAAGCTGGCAAGGCAAACCATGCGTGCATTTGTGTCTGATATGTGGTAGGCTTTATTATTAAATGTGTGATTCATGTTATCAGAGGTTATACTGTAGTTTGTAATATTCCTTCATTTAGTGTCCTGTGGAGTGGCTATAAGCATACTAGAGAAAAAGTTCTATTTCCATTTATTTAAGCACTGGGAAACAAATCTGGGAAGTACAAAGCTATGTTTCCCCAGTAGGTGGAAGGGCACTCGGTGTTTCATGAGTTCCATTCCCCCATGCTTTCTGAGTGTTTCAAAGTTGCTTTCATTTTAAATATGTCTTTCAGTAAGTATAGATCTGCATTTGCCTAAGGTGCAGATTCATACTGATTTAACTAAAAGGCACTTGGCTTCTCTCATTTTATCTCTTTCTGCTCTTAGTGTCTCTGCCTCACCAGGAGAACACTCTGCCAGTCAAGGAATCTTCACTGTCTCACACTGGAGCCATCAGAGTATTCACTTCCTCACAGGTACGCTGGAGTACATACTGCCAGTTTGGGTTTTAGTGGTTGGGGGCTTGAGTTTTTTTCTTGCCTGTATTTTTAAACTGTACCAACTGTGAGATTTTTTGGTTAGTTTTCTTACTTGGTTTAGGAGGGGAACAAGCATCTTTGTTCAGCATGTAAGAAATACAGCTGGATATGGTGTCAAATAGTGGAAGTCAAAAATACTACTATTGGTCATGTGCAATTGGGGGGAAAAAATGTTAGAAAGAGAGATGAATGAGTGAAAAAGCTAGACAGGTGCCTTCTAGAGAACAGGTCAGTCACTTAGTGCTGATTTTTAAAGTTTCAGCTGGTCAACACTAAACTATCTCTAAAGGCTAACACCGTACTTTGATAATCAGGTCAAACTGCTGCTGAAGGGAGTGGTCCCAATTTCTCAATGTACCAGTCCTTGATCAGTTAAACCCCTCCTGCAGCTGCATAATGAATCAGACTGGGAAACTTCTCAGGGCTATAACTGATCTTTTTCTGGGGGGAGAGGAAGGGAGGGAGTTTTAACCCAGTTCTGAATGAGGAGAACAGAGATCTTTCTAAGGATACTTCCCAGGAGTGAAGTTGTAGACAAGAGCTGAGGAAAACGAGCTATTTAATATCAGAAGGGTTTGCATTACTCCTGCTTTGAGATGTATTTGCTCTATACTTGCAGAGGGTTTGGGGAAGCCTTCATCCATTGCACTTAGCACAGTCAGAAAATAAATGTAGTTCTAGTGAGAAAACATAGATTTAAAAGATTTTTTAAAAATGACTAAAAGATTGTTTCCATAATCCTGATGGTCATGTTTGATTTTTCTTTAAGATGATGAGAGGTTGTAGGCTTTCTCCATGCTGCATAATAAGCCATTTAAACTTAATGCTGGAAGATGTCTTTTAGGCAGGACTAGAATCACTAGTTACAATGGTTTATATTCAAATAATTGACTATAAAAGAGAAATGATTAGGACTATGTTGGGACCTTTATTTTGTTTATAATGACTGCTTACCCCTATAATGAGAGGATCATTTGGAAGTGAAAGAAAATTCGTTGCTGTTTCCCTTTGTCCTTAAGAGAAAATATATTTGTTTGCAGCTCTGTGAGATCTGCTGTAAGTGGGGAAGTCTTTTGTAATTTCATTATTAAATGCTTTGCTACTCTTAGGAATTCAGTAGTTTTCCTACTCATGACTTAAAGAGCTTTATATTAAGCCTATTTTTCAGAAATCACTATGAAAATTTATTATATGTACTAACAATTTTTAACGTGGTATTCCCCCCACTCAAAAAATAGGAGACCTCAATCAAATCTGTCGTTTCTAACATCAATGGTAAGAATTTCTGAAAATGTGTTTGGCTTTTAGTACCTTCATGTTTAATGTTGCATTCCTTTACTTTCTCTGGGAAATTTCTAGCATTTGGTTTAATGCAGCACACTTACCTTGCTGTATTCTTGGAAGGGTCTTTTGCTTTCTGCACATACAGATTTGGAGGATTTCTGCTCTTATATAAAAGAGGCAAGAGAAAATTGGCAAATCCTGTATACTTTTTCAGTCATTTACTAGAAACTAACTAATGTGCTTTCTGGGAAGTGAAATAAGGGCTGGTCTGATTAGAAGCAAAATGATTATTTCTTTCCTGAAAACAAAAAACAAGTTTTCTGTTTAAATATCCCTGGGAGAACAAGAGAATGGCACATTATGACTCTTTGTAAAATTGAGATGTTAGCGTTTTAGGTGCAGGATTTTACTTCTGATGTCTTTTGCTGTATAGATCATTATGTTGAAGAGCCTGGAAGTATTGCATGGTAGAGATGGATGTTTTGAATGCATTAAATAGTGTGCAATTTGTGCAAAAGGAGACAAGCAGTTTAGGACATTCAGAAGAAGTAAGCAAAGCAGCAATAAATGAAGTTACATTTTGGATCAGATCTCTGAAAAGATTCTGTACAAATTACAGTGGGTAGTTTGCATCCATCTTTGTGACTCAACATCAGATAGATGAGTTGCAAAGTATAGCAGTACAACATCTGTCAGCTCTTCTCCACCTTCAAGTTCTGTCAATGAAGCCTTGCTCTGAAAGTCAGTCTGAGAGTTACTACAGTGATTCGGGAACAAACAAAAGAAAAATCTGTAATGGGAGCTTCAGTAGAAACACTGCAGATCCTTCTTACAGTACAGATTATTTCTAAGATTATTTCCAAATGAAAAATTCATTTGAATGTCTCAGGGACCTGTATTGTAGCTAAACTCCTTTCTGCTAGATCCACCAGTACTGGATTTCTTTTCATAAATATCTATGCTGGGTTTTTTTCCTAGATAACAAAGCAGCTAATCTTACACAAGGCTTCTCAGAAATGAACATGGAGCTGCCTGGAGAATTCAACAATGTAGAAAATGAATCCAAGGTTTGAGACAATCTCTTAAATCCTTCTTTTTCAATACCTGGGTGTGTGAGGTCTTCATCCCTGTAATGACATTGATCATGCAAGGACTTCATGTGTGTTTTATGAAGTTTTTTGAGTTGTCTGATCAACTGCAACATTTCAGAGACTATTTTAACCTTGGAGGCCAGAACATTAACAGTATTGAAAGGTGTGGTAGAGGCAAAACAAACATAATACCTTTGATGATATCCACACACCAGTGCATCTGCTTATCTTCCTGATACAGGCAAGATGTTTGGCATTTTTTAAAGTTGTGTGTTTTGGAGATGGCAGCAGAGTGTTTAAGACATGGAGACAAACATAGCTTCTCAGTTCTCTTTCTGGATCTGGCTTAGAAGAAGCTTCAGGGCATCTTGAAATTAAAAACAATAAGGGGTAGTATACAGTGGCCTTGTGAGAGGGCTGAAAGAATACAAGAGTTTTTGGTAAGCCATTGCAGGCATGTAACAATCTTCCTCAATAAACCAGAGGTTTTGGTACCAGGTAAAAGATCCATTTTGTGAGATCCCTTCTTAGAAGCCTTATGTGCACTCTTTAACATTGTACAGCAGTGTAACCACTGAATTCTCCCTGTGGCTTTTTCCTTCTGATGAGCATGGATATTGAGGGAGCAAGTTGCTGCATTTATTTATAGATATTTAATTTCTTGGAGTTCTGTGTTATAACTTATCTGTGTTATAACATTTTCATCACCTGATGTTCAGAGTGCTGTAGCAAAAGCACTTCTTGTTGCTGTTGAAGGATCTTGGAGCACTGCCTTCATTTTGTTCTACTAAAACACACAAAAGCAGGTGTTGCTCTCTTTAGTGAGCAGAAAGGAACTGGAGTGCTGGGAGTTTTTGACTTCAACCTGAGGTCAGACTTGAAGAGATGGTACTTGAAGTTTTGGTGTCTCTTCAGTTTTTAAAATGTTCTTTCTTAAGAGTGGGAGGTAACTTTTAAGTCTTAGCAAAACTAATAGTGTGGCAGCTTTATGCACTTCTGAGATCACTCTGCCTGCATCCCTTTCTGGTGGATCAGTATGAACCACCTGCTCCAAGTATTCATCACTACTCTCAGGAAAAACAAGTCAGAGGTCTAACATCATATCGTTTCATTTGAGAGGAAGGAAAGATGTTTAGGAACCATGGAAGCACCTGAGAAGGGTCTGGTAGGGAGTGGGGCCCACGCTCACAGAAAGGTGTTGGATTCATTAGCTCATCTCAAGGGCATCTATACCGATGCACACAGCAACAAACAGGGAGAGCTTGAGGCCATGATGCAGCACGAGAACTATGACATAGTAGCTATAACAGAAACGTGGTGGGATGCCTTACACAACTGGAGTGCTTCAGACAATGGCTACAAGCTCTTCAGGAGGGACAGACAGGGAAGGAGAGGTGGTAGAGTGGCCCTGTATGTTAGAGAATACAGAGCTCAGAAATCAAGTACAGTGATAACGGGGTTGACAGTGTGTGGGTTAGGTTAAGGGCCAATAAAGCAGATCTTGCTGTGGGAGTCTGCTACAGACCCCCCCAACCAAAGTGGTGAGGTAGATGAAGCTTTCAGTAAACAGTTGGGAGAAATCTCACAGTCACTTGCCATTGTTCTTGTGAGGGACTTTTAACCTCCCGGGTATCTGCTGGGAACACAACACAGCAGAGAAGGAACAATCCAGGAGGTTCCTGGAACGTGTGGAGGATAACTTCCTCACCCAGCTGGTGAGTGAGCCAGCAGGGAAGGTGCCCTCCTGGACCTGCTTCTTGTGAACAGGGAAGAGCTTGTGGGGGAGGTAAAGGTTGGAGGCCATCTAGTGTGCAGCGATCATGAGATGATTGAGGTTTCGATCCTTCAAGAAACAAAGAGAGAGGTTAGTAAAACTGCCACCTTAGACTTCCGCAGGGCTAACTCTGAACTGTTCAAAAGGCTGATTAACAAAATTGCCTTGGGAGACTGCCCTGAAGGAAATGGGAGTCCAGGAAGGCTGAACATACTTCAAGAGCGAAGTCGTAATGGCACAGGATCAGGCTGTTCCTGTGTGCTGGAAAACAAGCAGGTGGGGAAGGAGACCGGCCTGGCTAAACAGGGACCTTTGCCTGGATCTCAAGAACAAAAGGAGAATCTATTGCCTTTGGAAGAGGGGCCAGGTCTCTCATGAAGACTATAAAGATGTAGTGAAGTTATGCAGGGAGAACATTAGGAGAGCCAAAGCACAGATAGAGCTCAAGCTGGCTACAGTTGTTAAGGATAACAAAAAATGTTTCTATAAATTCATTAACAGCAAAAGGAGGATTAGGGAAAATCTCCCTCCTTTATTGGATGCAGAGGGAAACATGGTAACTAAGGATGAGGAAAAGGCTGAGATGCTCAACACCTACTTTGCCTCAGTCTTTAGCAGTGGAAGTGGCTGTTCCCTGGACACTCAGCCTCATGAGCTGGAAGATGGGGAGGAGAAGCAGATTGAGGTCAGCACAGTTGAAGAGGAGGTGGTCAGAGACCTGCTTGCACCTCTTGGATGCACACAAGTCTGTGGGAGCAGATGGGTTACACCCAAGGGTGCTGAAAGAGTTGGCAGATGTGCTCGCCAAGCCGCTGTCCATGATTTACCTGGAGTCATGGCTGACTGGGGAGGTCCCATTGGACTGGAGGGTGCAAATGTGACACCCATCTACAAGAGAGGCAGAAAGGAGGATCTGGGAAACTATAGACCTGTCAGTGTGACCTCGGTGCCAGGGAAGGTCATGGAGCAGGTCATCTTGGGTGCCATTAAAAGTCATATAATAGACAACCAGGAGATCAGGCCCAGTCAGCATGGGTTTATGAAAGGCAGGTCCTGCCTGACAAACCTGATCTTCTACAACAGGGCGACCTGCTTATTGGATAAGTTTTACCTTGGCTTTAGCAAGGCCTTTGACACCGTTTCCCACAGTATTCTCCTGGTGAAACTGAATGCTTGCGGCTTGGATGGGCACACGCTTTGCTGGGTAAAAAACTGGCTGGCTGGCCGGGCCCAAAGAGTGGTGGTGAACGGAGTTAAATCCAGTTGGCAGCTAGTCACGAGTGGTGTCCCCCAGGGCTTGGTTTTGGGGCCACTCCTGTTTAACATTGGTGATCTAGATGTGAGGGATCGAGTGCACCCTCAGTCAGTTTGCAGATGACACCCAGTTGGGTGGGAGTGTTGATCTGCTCAAGGGTAGGGAGGCTTTACCAAGAGACCTGGACAGGCTGGAGCGATGGGCTGAGGCCAACTGGGGGAATTTCAATGAGGCCAAATGCCAGGTTCTGCACTTTGGCCACAACAACCCCCAGCAGCGCTACAGGCTTGGGGAGGAGTGGCTGGAGAGCTGCCAGTCAGAGAGGGACCTGGGGGTGCTGATTGACAGCTGGCTGAGCAGGAGCCAGCAGTATGCCCAAGGGGCCAGGGAGGCCAATGGCATCCTGGCTTGTGTCAGCAATAGTGTGGCCAGTAGGGACAGGGAAGGATCAAACTCCTGTACTCAGCACTGGTGAGGCCTCACCTGGAACTGTGTTCAGTTTTGGGCCCCTCACTACAAAAATGACATTGAGTTACTCAAGTGTGTCCAGAGAAGGGCAACGAAGCTGGTGCAGGGTCAGGAGCACAGGTCGTACGAAGAGCGGCTGAGGGAACTGGGGGGGATTTAGTCTGGAGAAGAGGAGGCTGAGGGGAGACCTCATCACCCTCTACAGCTACCTGAAAGGAGGGTGCAGAGAGATGGGGATGAGTCTCTTTAACCAAGTAGTAAGTGATAGGATGAGGGAATGGCCTCAAGTTGCGCCAGGGAAGGTTTAGACTGGACATTAGGAAGCATTTCTTTCCAGAACAGGTTGTTGGGTGTTGGAATGGGCTGCCCAGGGAGGTGGTGGAGTCCCCATCCCTGGAGGTGTTTAAGAGTCGTGTTGACATAGCGCTGTGGGATCTGGTGGAGTTGGGAACTGTCAGTGTTAGGTGGATGGTTGGACTGGATGATCTTCGAGGTCTTTTTCAACCTAGATGATTCTGTGATTCTGTTTCACTATGAAACTTCTGCAATCTGAAGTTAAAATATTGTCGTGACACTGGAAACAGTTGGGGACTTGTATCCCAATTCAGATTGCAGAGTTTGGATGCTGAATTCTCTTTTGCGTACAGATGACCAGCTCAGCTGCTAAAACTTTCCTTTACAGTTTGATAGTATGGTGACAGAGTGTGCTTGAGGCTTCAGCCATGGCTTTTCACACAAGGAAGCACAATGAATTCCAGCTTTTCAAAAGTAACCCCCAGTCTTAGGTGCCTCTTAATTTTTGGATGCCAATTTTGGACATGTTAAGGAAATATGAGTAAGTTGAATAAATTCTTCGAGGCTCTAAGCTTTTTTCGTCTCCTTTCTACAGAAGATGACAAGCTACAAAATGGATGGACCACACAGAGGATTTTGTCTTGTTATTAATAATGTTAACTTTGATAGGTCTCTTCAGGAGAGAAAAGGTTCTTGTAAAGATGCTGGTAAGTTACTGAAGTGAGATTTTTGGAATATTAGTCTCTGTTTCCCTCTGTGAGTTAATTATCTAGTATTGCTTTACATTTTATTGTCTATATTCTAGTTAGTTAATATTTTTAAAGTATAAAATTTTTGATACATGTTGAATTATGTCCTTTGTGTATCTTAGGGGAGTGAGGGTTAAAGGATGCGTAACCATTGAGTTTCTGATGCAGCTGGATCATTCTTGAATCATTTTAAGAATCACTTTTTACTTAGCCTTTATCTATAGCTATAATAAGAGAACTAAAACTAAAGTAAAACACCATTGTACATAATATGATGCAAAATTCTGTAATCAACCAACTCAGTGCATACTTCTTATTTTACTTTGTTCAGTTTATCTCGTGTATGGAACAGTTTTGACAGTTATGTGAGGAAGGTTTTGAAAGATCTAAGCAGAAAATTGGCAGGGGGACAGGATTCCTCATATTTTCAGGTGTCATTTGTGAGCTCAGTGTGTCAATATACATTGTAAATTGCCATTGTATTTTATGAAACTTGTTAAGAAAAATCCAGGAACTCTGTTTGAGCTGATGACATGTTTTTTTTTATTCCAGTTAACCTTTAATTGATACTAGTATAATCATAAAATGGTAGAATGGTTTGGGTTGGAAGGGATCTTAAAGATCATCTAGTTCCCACCCCCCTGCCATGGGCAGGGACCCCTTCCACTAGCCCAGGCTGCTCAAAGCCCCGTCCAACCTGGCCTTGAACCCTGCCAGGGAGGGGGCAGCCACAGCTGCTCTGGGAAACCTGTGCCAGTGTCTCACCACCCTCACAGGGAAGAATTTCTTCCTTCTATCTAATCTAAATCTACCCTCTGTCAGTTTAAAACCATTACCCCTCGTCCTATCCCCGCACTTCCTGATCAAAAGTGTCCCTCCCCATCTCTCCTGTAGCCCCCTTTAAGTACCGGAAGGCCGCTATAGGGTCTCCCTGAGCCTTCTCTTCTCTGGGCTGAACAACCCCAACTCTCTCAGCCTGTCCTCACAGGGGAGGTGCTCCAGCCCCCTGATCATCTTCATGACCTCCTCTGGACCTGCTTGAGTAGGTCCATGTCCTCCTTATGTTGGGGGCCCCAGAGCTGAACACAGCACTGCATGTGGGGTCTCATGAGAGTGGAGTAGAGAGGGAGAATCCCCTCCCTCGCCCTGCTGGCCACACTTCTCTTGATGCAGCCCAGAACATGGTTGGCTTTCTAGGCTGTGAGCGCACATTGCTGGTTCACAGTCAGTTTTCCATCCACTAATACCCCGAAGTCCTTCGCCGCAGGGCTGCTCTCAATCCACTCCTCGCCCAACCTGTATTTGTGCTTGGGATTGTCCTGACCCATGTGCAGGACCTTGCACTTCACCTTGTTGAACTCCATGAGGTTTGCACAGTCCCACCTCTCCAGCCTGTCCAGGTCCCTCTGGATGGCACACCCCTTCCCTCCAGCGTGTCAACTGCATCACACATCTTGGTGTCGTTGGCAGACTTGCTGAGGGTGCACTGAATCCCACTGTCGATGTCACCAACAAAGATGTTAAACAGCACCGGTCCCAGCACTGACTCCTGAGGAACATCACTCATCGCTGCTCTTCACTTAGACATTGAGTCGTTGACCACAACTCTTTTGAGTGTGACCATCCAGCCAATTCCTTTACCCATCCAAATCAATGTCTCTCCAGTTTAGAGACAAGGATGTCATGCAGGGAAGTGTGAAATGCTTTGCAGAAATCCAGATAGATTATGTCAGTTTCTCTTCCCTTATCTACCAGTGCTGTAACGTCATCATAGAAGGCCGCCAGATTTGTCAGACATGATTTACTGTTAGTTGGCTGTCACCAGTCACCTCCATATTTTCCATGTACCCTAGGCACAGTTTCCAGATCAGAGGTGAGACTGACTGGCCTGTAGTTCTCCGGGTCTTCCTTTTTTCCCTTTTTAAAAATGGGATTATGTTTCCCCTTTTCCAATCAGTGGGAACTTCACTGGACTCTCGTGACTTCTCAGATATGATGGATAGTGACTTAACCACTTCATCTGCCAGGGTCCCCAGGACCCGCAGATGCATCTCATTAGGTCCCATGGACCTGAGCACCTTTAGGTTCCTTAGATGGTCTTGAACCTGATCTTCTCTTACAGTGAATGGTTCTTCCTTCTCCCAGTCCCCACATTTGTCTTCTGCATCTTGGGTGGTGTGGCTGGAGCTCTTGCCACTGAAGACTGAGGCAAAAAAGTCGAGTACTTCAGCCTTCTCCATATCCCAGGTGACCAGGTCTCTCATTTCCTTCTGGACAGGGCCCACATTTTTCCCTAGTCTTCCTTTTATCACTGACACCTGTAAAAGCTTTTTTTGCTGACCTTGATGTCCCTGGCCAGATTTAATTCTATGAGGGCTTTGCCCTTCCTAACCTGATCCCTGGCTACCCAGACAGCTTCTCTGTACTCCTCCCAGGCTATCTGTCCGTGCTTCCACCCTCTGTAGGCTTCCTTTTTATGTGTGAGCTTGTCCGGGAGCCCCTTGTTCATCCCTGCAGCCTCCTGACTTCCCCTTTGTTGGGATGCATCGCTCCTGAGCTTGGAGAAGGTGATTGTTGAATATTAACCAGTGTTCTTGGGCCCCTCTTCCCTCCAGGCCTTTATCCCATGTTACTCTGCCAAGCAGATCCCTGAAGAGGCTAGAGTCTGCTCTTCCATAGTCCAGAGTAATGAGCTTGCTGAGCGCCCTCCTCACTGCCCTAAGGATCTTGAATGCCACTATTTCGTGGTCACAGGCTGCCCCTGAGCTTCACACTCCCTGGCAGCCCCTCCTTGTTGGTGAGAACAAGGTCCAGCACAGCACCTCTCCTTGTTTGCTCCTTTATCACTTAGAGAAGGAAGTTACCATCAATGTGTTCCAGGAACCTCCCTGGATTGCTTATATGCTGCAGTGTTGTCCTTCAGACAGATAATGGGGTGGTTGAAGTCTCCCCATGAGGACCAGGGCTTGTGAACGTGAGGCTGCTCCTACCCGTCTGTAGAGGGCCTCACCCACTCAGTCTTTCTGGTCACGTGGCCTGTAACAGACCCCAGTATAGGATCTGTTGTCCCTGTCCCCCCTTTAATCCTGACCCATAAGCGCTCAGTCAGCACCTCATCCATCCCCAGGCATGTCTCTGTGCACTCCAGCTGGTCACTGACATAGAGGATGACCCCCTCTCCTCATCTCCCCTGCCTGTCCTTCCTAAAGAGCCTGTCTCCTTCCATTCCAGCACTCCGCTCAGGAGCCATCCCATCACATCTCCATGATGGCAGTAAGATTGCAGCCCTGCAGGTGTGGGCATGTCTCTAGCCTGTCTTGTTTATTACCCATGCCACGTGCATTTGCATAGAGGTATTTAAGTTGGGCCCCAGGTGGAACATTCATAAGGATGAATCTACAGAAGTGTCAGGGTTTAAGGTCTTTCCTTGTTCAGATTAGTTTGCATGATGACTTCATAAAATGGTTTTCTACTGCCTCAATTTTTCCTTTTGTTTTTGTTTTAATTACAGGGGAACTGGAGCGAGTATTCACATGGCTTGGTCTGGATGTGAGGACTTACAGAGATCTGACATCTCATCAGATTATAGAACTCATGAAAACTTGGCAGCGTTTGCAAGATCACAAAGACAGGGACTGTTTTATATGTTGTATTCTATCTCATGGAGAGTCAGGAGCAATCTATGGGAAAGATGAGGAACTTGTATCAATTCGCAGGATCATGTCCCACTTCACTGCCAAACAATGTCCACAGCTGGCTGAAAAACCCAAACTCTTCTTTATCCAAGCATGCCAGGGTAAAGAGATACAGTGTCCAGTCTATGTTGAAGCTGATGCACGAATTCCTGACTTGCCTTCCATGCAACAGAGCATTTCTGCTTCTGAAAGTATTCCTGAAGAGGCTGATTTCCTCCTAGGCATGGCCACAATTGACGGATATGTCTCTTTCCGGCACATTCAACAGGGTGCTTGGTATATTCAGGCCCTGTGCAGCAAGTTACAGTTGTTGGTACCAAGGTAAATACTTTGCTTAGCTCTTCCATGAAGAAACAGGATGATCTTCCCCTTTTTTAATTCTCCAAAGGCAGCTTCACATAGGAACAACTAACCCATGTTCTGAGGTGAACAAGATTTGTTAACCTGATGATTTGTTTGCCACTGATAAATTTACATTAACACTGAGAGTACAATAGAGATAATTGGAGAACATGAAGTTTATTGTAAAAAAACTGAAAACCTCCCATCTGTATTCTTTAAGGCAGAGCCATTTTTTCCTTTAGTGGATTTAGGTAAAAATATTCTATAACTTTTATTTACTGATTGAATCAAGCAGACAGAGTACGAAAAGGTCTTTTGTTTTTAGTGTGATTCAAATGAGAACAAAAGAGAATGAATCTGGAAAAAAGGATGTGGGGTTTGTGTTTTAAATTTTTATATCTTCTGGATGATCTGGGAGGTGTTAAATGGAGTGCCATCTGCTCATTAATAAGTCATGTTTTAATTTTTGTTCTCCTGGCCATCTAGGGGTGAAGATATTTTGTCGATTCTTACAGAAGTTAATGAAGATGTGGGAAGACGTGTTGACCGCTTAGGGACAAAGAAGCAGATGCCCCAACCAGCATATACCTTAAGAAGAAAATTTATATTCCCAATACCTACAGACCCTCCTCCTTCACAGCAACATCGAGGCTTTTAAAATACATCCTTTTATCAGCGCAACTCATTGAAATGCAACTCACTACACTAACTATTTCAAGGCAGTTACCCAGAATCCTGAAGAACTGTTAGGTTCAAGACAAGGCCTCATAAATTTTTTGCCAAACAAACTGTGAAACTGGAGGAGACACAATCCATGTGGGAGAGGCATACTTCTGTCATGTTAAATGTTTTTGTACCTGCATAAACTGCAGAGATAAGTGTTTTTCTGACAGCATAAGGGTTGCATGTAGCCTTACATATCTAAACCAGGACTATTAATCGTCTGATTTAGGCTCCTTGTGTTTTATTTTGCAGACTAACAATTTTAAATCCTGCCTCTAAATCCATTAGCTATGTTCATCGAGAAAGACAAATGTGGAAATGAAGAGGAGAAAGCTTAAATTGGAAGTGTAAAAGGGTTTCTTCGATCTCTAAACTATGTTTAACTTAATGGAGAGCCCGTTAACTCTTGAAATTTGTTCCACGGTGCATACTGATACCACCTAATGGCTAACATAAACCTCGTATATAATGAGATCTTTCCAAAACTGAGTAAATCCAAAATACTCTGTAGTATTCTGTCTGTGAAACCTTGTAAACTGTCATTTCCCCATCATTTCTGGGAAGACAATTTAGGGTAGAGGATTTGCACACTGTGAAATACAGCATTCAGCAGTGTATCTGTATAGGTTTATCAGATTGATTAACTTTGTTAAGCAGTACATTTTCTGGTTATTGTTTCTTGTTTTAAGATCCAAAATGCAGCCATACAAGAAACAAGGCTCCTTGTTGATGAAGCTTCTAACAGAGCATTTTTTGAGTCAACTGAAATAATGTCATGTTGTTTTGTTGTGATTACTATGGATGGCTGTGTCCTTCCTGTTTGTTACTGCATTAAATTCATACTTCTTTTTAAGAGCTTGGTGAGATAAAAAATATGTAATGTGGTAAGGCTTAGCCTTGTTTCTTACTGACCCCTTCATTTTGTTGGGCTGCATGGATCAGTGGGGTTTTAACTACCTCAGGGTTTAAGCTGAAGTGAAACACAGTTTTTTTTCCACAAAACGCTGGTTGCTGTATGTGATTACTAGCCATAAGTTAGGGCAAAGATTTGAAAGTGTACCGTCCAGTGCTGTTGAATGCAATTTTTAGCTTGCACTATCCAGGATTTTCAGGAGGGGAATTTTGCATCATACAGAGTATTGAAATGCATCCAGTTTGCCAAAGCATAGTGGTCACTTTTGATCACGATGAATTGATAGTTGTGTGACTCATCACATTTTGAGTCTTCTGAGTTTGGCTACCACACTTGAAGTCTCTTTTTTGCCACAGATAGAAAATGCTTTGTCTGTTAGTAGAATATATGACATATTGTAATAGAATCATGAAATTTCTGGCTCGCTATTACTGTTCAGACTTGGTGCATTCTTTTGTATGTTTTGGTAACAGCTAAATTTTTAGCAGTACAGAGTAAACACAACAATTTTGACTTTGTTTGCTGGATCTTGTTTTCATTTTTAAGTTTGGTAGACAAAGAACATCATCGTGTTTTGTTGCTTTCTCTGTAGAGACTTCTGCCTGGGTCATCTCCAGTGAAATCATAGGTAGGTAAAGGCAGTCAGAAGAGTCTAAGCTGAGTTCTGCCTTGAGTTCCCTGTGAGGTATAGAAGTCTGGTAAAGTCTCCCTCATAATAAGGTTTGTTCAGACACATTTTACACTACCATTTGTAGTCTTCAGTGTATTTTGCTTGTATGTGTTGAGGGTTGTGTTTATATGGCTGCACACTGTAATACTTGGGTGCATGCAGTGGTGCTCTGTCAGCACAAGCCCAAAGGTTTAGCCCAAAGGTTTAGCACTGTAACCACACCTGCCAGTCAGCAAGGTTGGTTGACATTTCTGCGTGATCTCCTCCGGTGTATTGTACAATAGTAGTTTGAAAGTTGTGGGGGAGAGTGGGTGGTTTTTATAAAACTTAGATATTCATTGCTCTTTGCTCTCCACACTGTACACCTTCAGTGTAACTCTGGCAATACAGAGATGTGCCAGAAAGAAATCAGCCTAGAACAAACAAACAAACAAGTTTCTGTTAAGGCTTACTGATGGCATACAGAAGCATGTGCGCACTCTCCACCTACAGAGTCTGTTTAAACATTTAAGTGGAACTAGTGTAAAAAGGGTCTTTCTGCTGGGGAAGCTGGTATCTTGGGAAGATCATGATTATAAAGTGGGATTCGTAACATCCATAAGTCTCTGGTATGTCATCCCTCCTAACCGTCAGGTTTTGTGCAGGAGTTGTCTATCCTGCAGGAGCTGTCTATCCTGCCTTGTGCCAGTAGAGGCCACAGTCACCACAGTTGCTGAGTAGTCACTAGCCTCAGCATTTTTGCTTCCTCAAGACCAGCCTTTCTGGAAGAGATGAATTTTTGGCAGGCTGCTGTACAAGGAATAGATTGGTTCACACAGAGTTCTAGGGAAAGCTGAAGGGACAAAACCAAGATGCAGAGGAGCTGAGGGAAATTGGAAGGACTGAAAGTTAGCAAGAGGATAGGAACATTTTGGGGAAGGGCGAGAGAGGAAGAAATAAGAAGTGAAACAGTAAAGACAATGAGGAAGAACAGTGCCAGGAGGGCTGGTCCTTGAGACCGCTGCATGATGGGAGAAGACTGTCTGGAAAGAGCCAACCTGGGCTTGGTCTTGTCTGAAAAGACTTTTCACACAGTGCTGATCAAGGCATGCTTCCTCTTTCAAACTGCAGCTGGAGTCTTTATTCAATTAAGGCGCAGAGGATCTGATGCAGGAAGAGAGACGCTGAGGCATTGAGATGACATGAAGACAGAACCATTTTAGACCTGAAGATCAGATAGCACTTGTGGTGTCCTGTGCTGCTCCAAGCCTTTGGATAAAACAACGACTTGTGCCAGTGAAATAAGTCAGATACGTTTCCTGAACTGTTGCTAGCGTATGTCTTTTGGAAGGAATTTGTATGCCTCACTCTATCAAAGGGTATGTTACAATTTTGAGTTTATAAAGGTAGATAGCTTGAAATCAGTCATTTCATTGCAAAATTTCAACAGATTGTGGCTCTCTTAACTGTCTCTCCTCATAATCCTGACTTCACAAACTTCAGAGAGCCTGGTAGCTGTACTGATTACTGACCATGTATTTCCTGCTGCAAGGAAGATACCGGTAACCAGCAGATCGTACTGAGAACCTTACCATTGAAGGCAGAATTCTATACTTCAAAGAGAGTGAAAATGCTAAAAGTTATTGCTTAAATTCTCTTGTAAGTGGGGAAATAATAATTTCAAATAATATTCACTGAGTACTGCTACTGAATTTGGTGCGGATAGTTGACTTTTTTTAAATTTAGGAAATAATCTTCCATGAAAGTGAATGTTAAAAATAGGCTAGTGTGAGTTGGAGAGGGACTTCAGAGAAAGGAGGTAAGTCATGGAGGATCTGGTGACACAGCAGGACAGTAGGACTGAGATATTTTTAAATGGGAAGAAGTATAATTGATTCACCTTCCTTCACTGTCTTTTAATTAGGATTCATATATGGGAGCAAATGTACCAAGCTGTGCTGTATGCTAGAAAGTCTGTCCCTTTAAAACAAAAGTCTGCTTAGTCTGTCCCTTTAAAACAAAAGCAAAACCTGGTTACTTTTGTGGTTCATTTGCCAAGTCTTATCACAAGCAATGTAATAAATAATTTCCTGAAACCGGAACTGTGATAGCTGGAGTAGGGAACTGCTGCACTGTGGCCACACCTTACTACTTTCTGTAAGTCATGTGTCAATATAGACCATAGTACAAAAAGCAGTACTTTTTGTGGACACTATGGCTGTCTCACTTTTTTCAGAGTTGTTCCAGCAGTTCTTCAGCCTGTCCTCCCATGTAAATGATGTAAAAATAATAATAGTAGTAATAGTATTGTTTATTATTAAACGGTTGTATCAGTTGTGTCTTTAGTAAACTGGGAAAAAAAAGAAGCCATTAAACATTGTTTTAGTGTGCTCCCTGTATTTATAGACAGGCTTAAATGCAGTGTAGGTGGCACATATGTGGTAATTGCAGTAATTTTGTGGCTTTGAAACTTACAGCATTTGAGAAATAAGAATGAAAATTCCCTTTACCAGAAAGATTTATAAGTACATGCCTTGTATCTTAAAAAAGGCATGATTTATGCAAGAAAGAAACTTCATAACTAGCTAGCAAGAAAATATTATTCTCTTTCCTGTGGGGATAGAAAAATATATGGTCAGATCTGAGATCATTGAATCATGAGGTTAAGCACATATGATTCATTAAGATACTAGTGGCTTTGTGGTGATAGGGGCTGAATTGAATGGATTCTAGGCTGTTTAAAAGTTCCATTTGAATGCATTTAAAGAAAACAGTATTAGGGGGCACAGCATGAATTGTGTATGCTGCATCACAACACATGTTTTGCTGTTTTATCAGTTTTTTGATAGGCAGATGTTGTGTATTTGCTCTTGCCAACTAACAGAATGCTGACCAAGGACATGCCACAAAAAACTGCTTTGCTGTAGAGTGGTCCTTGGAAGAGAGGGGAGTAAAATTGTCTGCTGATTTTTTTTTTTCTTTTTTAAGAATTTACAGTAGTACTGGTTCAGTTAGTCAGCTGGACTACCATGTAGTTATTAGCCATGGCATCAAAACATTTACAGTGGCAATAACATTAAAATGGATTGCCTAATATTCCGGTAGTGTAGGAGTAGGAAGTTTTGATTTGCTGTTGTCAACGTTTCTGTCTCCCAGTGAGTTCAGTGGGACAAGAGGCCTCTACTGAATGCGCTTCTAGTTTCTCTTCAGAGATTCCTAGGTGTCTTAGATCTAAGGCAAAAAGAACTAAGTGGCAAATGGTTTTCCCACCAGTGAGGCAGTGGAGGTGGGTCTTTTATGTGTCAGGGTAAGATAGTTGGATGGCTTGTACTTGGTATTTTCTAACTTTCTCTTGTGCTCAAAAGTTGGAACCATAAGCCAAATTCAGTATTTCTGAAGCTGCTGGAGGAGGTGGTGGAGAAGGGAGGTGATACTTGATGTTTAGTGAAACAGAATTAGTTTGACAAGAATTCTCCTGGCCTTTTTAAAAGGGTTGATATGATCTGTATTTGATTTGAATATTACAAATTGATTGAGAGCTGGGAACTTAATTTTACTTGATGCAAATAATCCAGAACAGGAAAGAGGTGCTTTGGCTAGACTGACTGGGGTCAGAAGCAGTGTGTAAAGAAAGGAAAAGCCAGATAGCTTAGAAGAGTTATACTCATGTGGACTCTTTGGTATGATGTTATGATGGTCTTTGTTATGGTGTAAAACCTGGCAGTCTCATTTAATACATAGTCTGTATTTCAGACTGGCAAGTGGGTCTTGCTCCCAAATGGGATCAAACCTCAGTAAAACCCAAAACAACAAAACAAAACCAAACCAGCAGCAGCCTGCCAGGATTGTACATCCTGTACATGGGTACTTCCCACTGTCTAGACACACCATAGGAAGCTGTGACTTTCTCTCAATTTTACTTAGTACAGAGATTTTTATATTCCTGTTGAGAGAACTGAAAGAGCTAAGCATCAAAGCTATGATAGCAAGACTTCTCTCTGCTGAAGTACTCTCGATTGCATGTATTTATTTTGGGCTCTTCTACATGATGTGATATCTTTTATAATCATGTTGTTGCACTACTGTTACTGACAAATTAAATCAACTTTCGTTTGTGTTTAGATCCAAATCCTGATGTGAAATGAGTACAGACTTCTGCAAACTCCTTTTTGACATTTCTGAGGCTTTGATCACAGATGAACTGGCAGCTCTGAAGTTCCTTAGCCTGGAGCACGTCCCCATGAGGAGGCTGGAAGCCATCCAGGAGCCCAAGGCCTTCTTTGAAGTGCTGCAGGAGAAAGACATGATTGAGGCAGGGAGCCTGGCCTTCCTGAAGGAGCTGCTCTACCGGATCAATCGGATCGACCTCCTGGCTGCCCACCTGGGCTCCAGCCGAGAGGAAATGGAGAGAGAGCTTCAGATCCCAGGCAGGGCAAAGGTGTCAGCCTACAGGTAAGCACAGAAGTAGCAAACCTTTGCACGCAAAACATACAACAGTTCTGTTGTGTACTGTCTTGTTTTCTGTCTGCATTGTTGTCTGTGATAGTTTGAAAACAAACTAGTGGGAGACACCAAGTCAGAATAACAATTTAATAAGAAAAAAAAAAAAGGCAGATAACGCTGGGTTAAACTAACAGAGTCAGGATACAACCTGACACCCTGTTAATCAGGGTGGTGGTAGCAGTCTGGTAGAACGGTGGCTGCAGTCCCCCCGAAGCAGTGATCCTGTAGAAAAAAGATCTGTTCTTCCTCAGAAAAGTCCAGTGGTGGCTAAGTAGCTCCTGTCCTCTGGAAATCCAGTGGAAAAGAGAGCGTCTCTGGTATTCAGAATCTCAGGTTATATCCAGGATGGAATGCTGGTTTTCTCCCTCGTGGTGGAGCATCTCACAATGGGATAATGAGTCATGCTGCATGGCATTGATGGGCCATTAACAGAAAGTCGGGGCGGGAGGGAGGCAAGGAAACACTGCCCCACCTGATTTCAACAGCTCATGAGGATGGTAATAGAATATACTGCAACCCAGGACATTGTCTTATGAATATCCCAGCATAACTATATTTATTACAGCATGACTACCTGCCATTGTGTGTTTTACATTTTGCAGTTCAAATGTGCAACTGTGGTGTCTACTTTCATAGATTTTTCGCTCAGTTACCTCTGTTCTTTCTTGCCAGGCAGCTGCTATATGGAATTGCAGAGGACTTGACTTCAGAAGATGTCAAGAGTGTGAAGTTCCTGCTCCAAAAACAAATACCAAAGAACAAGCTCCAGGATAATGCCGTATGCAAAGTGATCTTGATAAGTTTCTTGGAAGGCTCGTTCAGAGTCTGCTAGTTCTAAAAAGGAAGGAAAGGGAAAGCAGTCTGCTCTCACTAAAATCTGTCATGGAAAGAATTGTGATACTATCTGATAGCTGCTGTGTGAAAGAATGGACTCTTTTTTTCTCATTGTATCTTTTCCCTGTCCTTTTTTGCTCTCCTCTTCCTATTTTCTCTCCACCACCTGTCTTCCTAATCTTTTCTTATTGCAAAACCCGTCATGCTCTTCCTTTCATCTTTGCTTGGCATTTGTAAGGCATTTGTACATATGCTGTATCTAGGAAGAGTGATTTTTGCTGGAGGAAAAATAATGTTTTGGAGACAGCAAATCGAGTTCTAATGTGAGTTCAACCACAAATTTTTGGGTGTCATTGGGTACATTTTTGTCTTTATTTTCGTTTGGGGTAACAGCATTTTGTTAACTCACACACAAAAGTATTAAGAGGTTTGATGAGCTAGTTTAATACTTACAAATAATTAACAGTTATAAAAATGATTGGTATTATTAAGAAGCTTCCTTAGAAGTCTTATTTGTACTGTAGCATCTATAGGAAAATTAGCAGATTTACCTCCAACTTGGTGGACTATTGAGCTTTAAAAACCAAAATTAGCCCTGAACACCTTTTCTGTATTAGAAAATGTAAAATGCACAGCTAAATGATGTAACAGCACTTCATCTGAACATGGATGCCATGTTGTTATCCACATTAGTGCTTTGCACTGCTGAAACATGCAGGACAACCTAGCCGTAGGCAATTTCTAATGATCCTCTTAACCTTAGTGATATGTTTCTTCAGTTGCATTGCACCCTGACCCTTGTTTTAATGAGGTTTGGAGGAAAAAGAAATTGGTCTTTAACTGGTCAGTCTTTGGGAATGAGGGTGTTGTCTTCTGCTCTGTCCAGAACTGCCTAATACTGCAGTTATTGAAGGTCACTCTATGAGTTTGGGTTATATGTTTTTGTTTTACCAGTCAATGTTGAAGGTTTTACTGGAAATGGAAAGAAATGGGATCATTAAAGAAGATGACCTGGCAATGCTGAAAAATATATTAAAGGGATTTAGGGCTGACATAAAGAAAAAAATCGATATCTATGAAGAAAAAAAAAAAGGTAAATTATTTAATCTGCTGCTTAAGAGTAGACCTGGCTTGTTGGTTTGGGGGTTTTTTGTGTCTCCATCCTTGACATCTTAGGAGTCCAGAGATAAGAGAGAGACCTTACAGTATCCTAGGATAGGCAGAGCAGCTCTTGCGGTACCTGTGGTTTCTGAAGTTTTCTGCTACATCATTATCCCATCATACCTTCTTGTATCTCTCCTTGAAAGAGAGATCTTCTGTGCCTTGTCTGTCTTCTTCTTCCTTCTCTTTGCCTTAAATGCAATTTTTTTCTTCAGGAAACTGTGTAGTGCTGGTTTGGGACCAGCATAGCTTTTCAGTCACTGAAAGAGATTGGAAGTGGCAGTTGTTTGGGGCAAACTTGTATTGGGAGATTGTCAATATTTTCTGTTAGCCAGGCTGTTTGGTCTTAGTCGAAGTCCCTGCAGACCAGGTACTTGGCTAAAGTGTAACCATTAGTTTTCTGCACCAGATGTGAAATTTCAAGGACTTTGATACATCTGGGCTATTGGAGCTGAGGTGGTGAGTTCTTACACCACACAGCTAGGCCTTACTCTTTGGGAAACAGGATGTGTCAACGAACAGCTGAGACCCATTAAATTTTTCCCCAGAATATCCTTTTGGATGACTCAGGACATGTTTCCTTAGACACATCTATACGGCCCATGCAGTTCCCTGCAGAGGTACCAGATAGTTTCCCCAGTATGTCTTTGTGCTGCTGACCTATGCTTGTGTGTCTAAAAGAAAATTGCCAAGGGTGTCTCACAAGAAAATTGACAAGGGTGGCTGATGTAGGCAAGCCCTGTATCAGGGGACTGGCTTTTTAGTAGTATTGTTATTATTTTGTCCCCCTTGATAAGTAGAGAAAGAGAGCGTCTGTTAGATCTTGTTGCCCTGACAATTAAATTCCATTTAAACACATCTGTGTAACTTGTAAAAGGGGTACTGTGATTTCTTTCCTTGGGTAGAGTCATGGATTTGATGATTTCTTCACTAGTTTCAGACAGTTGTAGCCAAAGAAGTGTTTTGTTGATTTGAGGAGATCTTCCATTATGCTGGTATTCTGCATCCTTGGTGTGTCCACCCAAACAGATTTTTCTGGAGAAGAGATAATAGCCTCAGCAGTAAATGAACTAGCTGTAGTGTACCACTGTACGAAAATGTGTCTTCTCTTTAACTTATGTATCCAGTAGTAGAGATGCTAGTGAGTGGCTTACCTGAGGTGATTGCTCACATTCAGCCTTTTATTATCTGGATCTTGCTACCAGTAAAGGAGCAGAGAAGAAGTGGAGCACAGCTCTGCACAGCTTCAATAACAGGCAGTCTGTGAAAATGGAACCCTGTTTGGCCCAGCTCTACAAAATTATGGTGTCTCAGTGATGTGGAACCCATCTTCCACCTCACTCCTTGTACTGGGTTTTTTTGAGTGTTGAAATATGCACAGTGGAAGATTTATCTTTTTAGTCCTAAAATGTTTTGTTTATTTTCTCCCTCTTAGAAAATGATTCTAAGAAAAAACTCCACTGTCTAGTGTCTGAGTCTGTGCATTCAGCAGGACAAGGAGCAGAGGGGGTGACACCACACCTGGTGAGAAGTACCTCAAGATCACCTTTATTTATCCAACCCCTGGGAGGGGGGAGCATGAATTCTTAAGACTAAGCAGATGGAAGAGCTAAAAGGGAGGGGTTCTGGCTTTATATGTTGGCCTTGGAACAAATTCTATTTTCAAAGCAAGACTGAGCCTTGTTCCTTTCTAAGGAACTGGATGTCAGCAACCTTTTAGGTAAGTAATGAAGGAGTAGCTGTTGTATGAAGAAAACCAGTCTTAACAGTAATGGAGACAGGGACATTAAAGTCCTGGCCAAGATACTTCTGGACAGATGGGAAGGGAACAACAGAATCTGCTACCACACTAGAAACCCACAAGGACTCTCAGAGGGAGTAGTAGGGTGCAGGAACTTTTATCTCTGCACATGCAAATTTGTGTTTCTGGATACTCGTTTTCTCCCATGCTGAAATTACATCCTAACCACAGAGAGAGAGGAAGAGGATTCAGGGAGACCAGGAAGATTCCTCTCCCTTGTAGCTAGCTTGTATTCATAGACTTTTCCTTCTTCTGTCTTGGCCTCATGATTTTTTTGCGCTTGGACATGAAGGACCAACAATCTATGTGTAGCATATTTCTCTTTTGTATGCTTGGCACTGCTTTCTTACCTGCTTTCTTTGTTTCTACAGGTTGTGGAATCATATAAGATGAAAAATAACCCCCATGGTTACTGTGTGATTCTTAACAACTACATTTTTAAAAATCCATATGAAGCCAGAGAAGGAACAGTGAAAGATGGAGGTAAATACTTTTTTAATCCAATTACTCTTTTTTTTTTTCCTCTGATAATTCTCTGAAAGAATCATCTAATCTTTCCTGTGAAGAAGAATCATGTCCACTGAGCTCCTTTGTCTCCAGAGTAACTGGAATGACAGTCACAGTAGAAATTGGAAATATGTCACTTCAACAGTTTATATGATGGCTTAAAGAAGGAACCACTTTCTGTTCTAGGTAAAAAGCATCATCTTAATTGGTCATATTGGTCACCAAATAGTGAAGGAGGGATTACTATTCCACCTTTTCACATTTTGATTGGTTTTAATATTTAGCCATCATGGAGTAATATTTTTAAGTCTTTACATTCTCTTTAATGCTCAAATAAATGCTACTGCTTTATAATTTTCCTTAAAGCCTGTCTTCCTGCAAGAGTCCCTTTTAAGATAAATAAGAGTTTATCTTAAAAAAAGTAAAATCAGTTTCATGAAAGCACACATCACTGCACTAACTCCATTTAGGCTGTCTGCAAACTGCTTGCTTCCCAGCTACTTTCTCACTGCCCACACACCAAGTCAGTCAACATTTGCTGAGAAGTCAGCATAGCATTTGTTACCCTGCCTTCCTTCTTGCTGTACTGATCATTCTTACAGAATGAGGGACCTACTTCATTTAAGAGTGGCAGAATTTGTCATTCTGAAGAGGTACCTCTTCTTTAACTTGCTAAATGTTGTTCTTAAGCATCTGAGATTACTGTGCAATGAACAGTTAAGCTTGCTTTAATACAGTAAAGTTCACTGATTTGTACTGATTCATCAGATAATCTGAAATCTGGTTTGGTTTAGATAATGTGATGCTTAATCCAGTTGTGTTTTAAAATTCTAATTAGATTTGGTTTTCAATTAGATTTGGCAGGTTTAAGACTCAGTCAGGTGAGTTTATTGGTGGAATCTGAACACTTCTGCTTATATCTGATCTACTGCACAGATACTGATATTTCAGCATCTTCCTTGTCACTATGTTTAACAAAAGTGCCTTCTGACTTTTCTGACAAGTGCCTTCTGACTTTTTTTCCCCAGAGGCTGTGAAGAGGGTCTTTAAGTGGCTTCAGTTTGAGACAGTTGAGCACATGGATCTAGAAGCAAAGCAAATGCATGCAAAAGTTAAAGAATACAGCAAAAAAGATCATAGTAACATGGACTGTTTTGTTTGCTTCATTTTTTCCCATGGTGAAAAAGACAAAATAAAAGGCATTGATCATGAGTTTGTAAATATTAAAGATTTACTCTCCTGCTTCAGTGGATCTAATTGTCCTTCTCTTGCTGGCAAACCCAAGCTGTTTTTCATCCAGGCTTGCCAAGGCTCTGTAGGTCATCCAGCTGTCACAGTAAAAGAAGACTTTTCTGGACATCTTGAGACAGATGCTACCCCTCTGACTTCCATTCCTGATCAGGCTGATATCCTGGTTGGCATGGCTACAGTGGAAGACTATGAGTGCTACCGCTGTACAGAGATGGGCAGTGTTTACATTCAATGCCTCTGTGACAAGATGGAGTCACTTTGCCCACTGTAAGTACTATTTTTAATCCGTGTACATTTGGAGTATTGCAGACATACATATAATAACTTAAGCATGCTGTGCTGAAACATCAGTGTTTTACATTTGTGCTATATAATACTTTTCACTTGCAGGACAGTGCAGAACAGTAATTATTCTGGAATTGGGCATTTTTTTCCTTCTACGGATGAACCAAAGCACAAGTGACTTCCCCTAGTTTGCCTGTGACAGAACCAGGGTTGTAATGCTGGAACATTACACATAAACAAGTGTGTGTATGTGTGTGCATGTTTTTTAACATTCTTGTACTGATAAATTATTTTTCTTTCAGTGACACCTGATGAGAGGTGAATTTGTTGTGTGACTACACATTAAAAAATCAGGGTTCTTTAGTCATAATTTTCATTTTGCCTCCCTCCAATCCCCATCATAAACTTGATTTAGAAAATAGAATTTCTCTTCAGACATCACTTTCTCATGGTGCATAGAAGAGGGCATGGAGAATCCATATGTTTGTTTCTGTTTCACATTAGTGCGCTCTTCTGACTATAACCAAAGCAGGGCACTGCATCTGCTGGTAAAGTAATGCTACGCAGAGGTTGCTTTTATTTCCCAAACACACTGGATTCTGTGGTTACACAACGGAGTGTGCAATTTCAGTGACAGTCAAGGTGAGGGGAAGATAATAGCCTTCCCTGAGATACCACTTTATTGGAGCAAACATAGATCAACTTCTTGGCCTAGCTGCAAGTACCATGTGTTTCAATGTAACTTTTCTTCATTTTTGTTCAAGCGGCAAGGATCTCATAACCATCCTGACAGAAGTGAACAAGGAAGTGGGAAGAAGAGTATTAAACGGATGGAAGCAGATGCCAAAGATAACATCAACCCTACGGAAGCAATTGATCTTCCAAATTCCATAATGTCAGTCAATTGAAAAGTAGGAAAATAAGAATACACTCAATTAGGAATCACATCTGAAATGGGCTTCCACAGGGAAGAGATTTTGCAGGATAAATTATCTGGATCTGTGTAGTTTAGCCCCAGTTCTTCAAGGGGCCATGGGACCTACGTTTTCTAATTCCTATGTTTAATCAGTCTCCTGGCACCTGGATCTATAGCAGTCTGGTAAGGCCATGTAGGAGTGCAGATGTGGCTTTCTGTCCTGCAGAAGCACTGGAGTCTGTTCAGTCTGAGTTTCAAGTGAGGAAGCACTTCTAAGTAGTATGATTTTTAGGTTATTGGAAATGCTAATGAAAATTCTATTTCTGTCCAAGTTGTTGTAAGTCCCTGAAATCTGAAGAAAAGAACAGATAGATTCAGAATGCTAGATCCCTTCCCAGGGAGCATGTGTAAGGTTGTAACTTATTTACCCAGAGGTGAATCATTGGCTGTCTCTGGAAACTGTGTAATTTTTCATGGAAAATAACATCCCTATCCAGAAGGACCAAAAAAAGATGATTATGATAATACAAGCTTGGTTCTTTTCCTCCAAATACTTGGTTTGCTTTATGTTACTAATTTCCTTGGCTAAACAGCACTGCTGTTTAGGTTTTTTAATAGTAAGGGTTCTAGCTGTGTTTTTTTCTCCGAGCTCTTAGGGGACATTGAAAACAGTCTGTTTTGAATGATTATCAACTGCTGGAAGGAGGGTTTCATGCCATTAGATCCACTGTTCTGAGATGCCTTCTCCTCCTGGCAGCTGACTCTAGCTCCTGTGGACTCTTGTTTCTGTTATAATAAATACTCTTTGTTTTCATAATCACCATTGGTTTTGGTGTATTCCTCTTTTGGATGAACTGACCGAGGGACAGTTAGCATGACAAATGCTTTCACTTAAGCAGAAGTTATTTTCCTCTTGTTGAAGTATTCAGTGTCTGTCAGCCTGAGGGGTAGCATATTGATATCCCTTCATTAGCAGCTGGAGAGATGGTAGGAAAGAGTAAATCTAAGTTCAGGACTTTCACAATAATGTTAGCTGATGACAGTGAGGCTGTTCTTACCTTGCATCCTCAGCAATGTGTAGGTGGTATGTGGGAGCTGTCTGCTATTCTAACAGCTGCATTCCTTTTGAGTTTATAATAAGATAAAGAACAGATTTGAGATACTTTGTAACTTTTATTTGTTTCAGTTTGTGTTATTTTGGAAATCCATGTCTAGACATAAAGCCTTTATTCAATCCTGCTTGTGTTCTTGAAGTGAAACTTTTTTTTCTAATTCCACACAATGTGTTGGCAGTTGCATTTTGCTCCCCTTACCCTTTTTCACTTTCCAAGTAAAAGGGAGAGTGCCCATTCTTAGAGTCACAGCTCTCTTCACACAGGTTTCATAAATAATAAACAGACATTACAAGCACTATGCAAATGAGAGTGCTGTTTGTGGCAAAATTTACCAGAAGGTGTTACTAGGTATACTGTTCTGTGGCTGACATTTGGTTAACCATTTAAGCAACATGGCAACAATTTATTTACATTTTTATATTCATAAATGAGACCCTGATATGAAGTTAGTAATTAGATTTGTGAATGTTGTTTTATGATAAGGAAATACAGCTTAGACTGAGAGAGTTGGGGTTGTTCAGCCTGGAGGAGAAAAGGCTCCAGGGAGACCTTATTGTGGCCTTCTGGGACTTAAAGAGGGCTACAGGAAAGCTGGGCAGGGACTCTGCATCAGGGGGTGTAGGGATAGGATGAGAGGTAATGGTTTTAAACTGAAAAGGTAGATTTAGATTAGAATACAAGGAAGAAACTCTTCCCTGTGAGGGTGGTGAGGCCCTGGCACAGGCTGCTCAGAGAAGCTGTGGCTGCCCCCTCCCTGGCAGTGTTTAAGGCCAGGTTGGACGGGGCTTTGAGCAACCTGGGCTAGTGGAAGGTGTTCCTGCCCATTGCAGGGAGTGTGGAACTCGATTTAAGGTCTCTTCCAACCCAAACCAGTCTATGATTAAGTGAAATAACTACATCTTCTGGGAGAAACTTGCTGGAAGGTGGAAGCTGCTCCAGTATTGAAGTTGTGAATCTACAGCATTTGTTTTTTCATATTTCTGTGTCAGAGTTCAATACTCACAGACCAAGTTCTTTCAGATATTCTACATGAGGAGGAATTTGATATCAGATTCACTTATTTAGTATATTTGGTGCTACATGGGATTTTGATGTAGTGGAGTGATACAACCATATACTGAAATCACAACACAAGCATAATTTAGCAATCACAATATAAAGTTGAATCACAATACAGACGTGATTCTCATTACTCTGTATGCTTACCATCATGACACTGAGCATCCACAGTCATGATGGAATGTGAGTTGAAGCCATCTGAAGCCCACTGCTCTTTCAAAGTTTAAATGTTTTATCAGTTGTAAAGGTTTTATACTTTTATGTTGGACTGAGCCATGTATTGACATCCCCCATGCTGGTCTGACTACCTCGGGAAAACATTATTCTTTATTAACTGTCTTGAAGTACCTGATGAGGGTACTAAGGTTACCATCCAGTTTCTCTCATGTTGAGGTAAATTGAGCTTTCTTTACGATACATTCTTCCCTGAGATCATTGGGTTTTCTCCCTTCTCTGAGCTGTCCTCCACTGGGGGGGGGGGGGAGAAGTTGTGCTGGTCAGTCACACCCTGCCATTAAATTGACATGATACTTTGTTCTACCTTTTAAAATCAGCCACCTCCATAGCTAACATTATTGCCTGCTGATGAAGACCTACTAAAAGGGAGAGAAATCCTCTGGAAGTACTGCAGGAAGTAGCCATACTGTGAATTTATGTGTTGACTCGTGCATGATCAAGGAAAGAGAAAACACTTTCAGTTTTACGGTTCTGACTAAAGTATGCTCACACAGGCCTGTGGCAGGATGGCTGATATGTTCTTGCATTTATTTGTGGCCCTCCCACAGAACTGAGAGGTAAGAAGGAAGTTGGGTCTGCAATTTTCTGTTTTTCCTCTGTAGCACAACTTAGAGAGTGGTGAGGGGCAATCACCTTTCTTTTCTGAAGGCCCTTAGCTATAGTTACTTTGCCTGTCCTCCCTGGCAAAGGAGGGAGGCTGGGAGGCCAAATGCTATAGCAAAACAATCCTGGCTCTCAATTCTGTGCTTTGTTTTCAGCAAGCGGAAGCACTACCACCATGAAGTGGAGTCACAAGGTTGGTAGGAAAGTGAAGTTGGTGAGTTGAAGTCCTGATGCTGTTTGAAAAGGGAAATGCTTAGAAGAGTTGGGGATGACTGTTAGCTGCAGAGGCTGAAATAATGTTATTCAGTGGCATGAATCCCCGCCCAGTCATCTGCATCTTTTTACTTATTTGTTCAGTTTAACACCAGTTTCCCAGTGCAGTGTTTACACCTACCTTCTGTGGGAAGTTTGTCATCCTGTCCACTGTAATGGTTTCAGGGTGACTTGCTCATGTGCTGTTCTTGGAATGGGTTTGTGGTACATGTAAGGAGCCTGCCCATGTTCAAATTGCTGCCAGCTTCTCCCATTGCACAAGCTGTTGTACATATGTGTTTTCCCACCACCTATATAATGGTTCACTCTTAGTTCTCAAAGTGCTGCAAAATTCAAGTACTGTTGAGTTTTGATTAGTTGAGCTGTTGACTATGTCTGTGATCTGTAATATCTCCTGCAGGAATCTGTGAAGCTCAGAGAGAAGTGGAAACAATATACACATCATTTAGGAGATTAAGCTATGAGCAGGGCCTCCAGAGCTAGATTTTTCTCGGGACATGTTGGGTGTTCAGCCATTGCTGTTTACTCTTTTTATTCTGTCCCTTAACTAACATGGGCGCATTCTTTCTGAAATTACTCAGATCTTCCTCTTTTCAACTAGAGATATGTCAAATTATGAACAGAGAATGGCATGTTTAGTCTGCAATTACTTCTATGCACTAAAAAATACAGTTCAGATCTGTGGGATTTCCCAGATACTAATATCTGTGTGATGTGTCCTTTGCTTGTAACCATACATGTTCTGTTATTGACAGCTACAGGAATTCCCCAGTCCTCAAACATGGCTGGCTTTTGTGGGTGCCAACTGTAATACATTTCTAGCTAGGTGGAACATTATTCTGGACATGTCTTCTGGGCCTAGGTCTTTTGCGTTAGTTTTATATTTGTGTAACCACTTTGTGCTTAGGCCTGATCTGTCCAGATTTACCAGTGAAAAGAGAATGATCTATACCTCCTTCAGTCTATTTACTAGGAAGAGCTTGTTTTAACATGACTTATGGGCATATCTTACATAGGGGTTTGGGTATTGATAAGCCACTTCCAGGATAACAATGTAAAATTTTCTGCTTAATATATTGTCAAACTGTTTTTTCCTGTTTTGGGGGGGGGAAGGGACTCTGTTTTCAAAGCAGTGCTTATTGAGAACACTTTCTTTATCTGGAGAGTATGGATGCTTTGAGGGTTGTTCTGATCAAGGTGAGCATGAAGGTGTTAATACTAATTTTCAGAAGGATGAAATGCCAACTGGTAAAATCTCTTCTGTCCTTCCTCCCGTGGTTGTGAAAGGCCATCTATTGAGAGTGCTGCACCAGAAGGCATATCAGAGGTGGTACATCATCCCGGGGTCTTGCACCATCGTACAGTGCTCCTGCAAGCCTGGAGGGGTGGGAAGGGAGCTGCTTCCACGGCTGTAAGGGTACCAGGCCCAACACCTGAGTAGAGTGTGCTGCATCGCCTGCCAGCAGCTCCAAAAGGCGGCCAAGGAGGAAATCGAGCGTTATGAGTTCTTTCTGTTTATATTAAGATGGCAATGAATTGTGAGTGCCTTTAAACTAGAGAGAGGTGATTGCAGGAAAAGCCCGGCAGAGGGAGGCCATTAGACCTGCACTAGTAGGTTCAGTTTTCTCAGGAATGGACTTGAGAATAGTCAGCGCTTCATAACTGTGGACGGAGGCGGCCTAAAATGTGTCTGAGACGAGTCCTCTGGCAGACGCGCAGTTTTTAAGTTGTGGGGTTTTTTGGTTTAAGCTAGAGATCCAGAGGAGCTGCAGCTCCCAGGGCCCCGGGCACCGCCTCCTGCCCGCCCCAGCCCGGCGGCGGGCGGAAGCGCGGCGGGGAGAGCCCTCAGCCCTTCCCCGCCATGGAGCTCCCCAGGCTCCGGCTGCTGGTGGTCGGCGAGGAGCTGGACGAGGCCGAGCTGGCGGCTCTGAAGTTCCTCAGCCTCGAGCACGTCCCCATGAGGAGGCTGGAAGCCATCCAGAAGGCACAGGACTTCTTCGAAGCGCTGCAGGAGAAAGGCATGATGGAGGCGGGGAGTCTGGCCTTCCTGAAGGACTGTCTCTT